GGGGGGGGTTAGGCCGTTTTCCATTTCCACTCCATCCCAGCTAATCATGTCCCTTTTGTAGCCGATCCTTGCTGTTGCATAAAATTTGATCCTAGGATGACGGGGTGTAACAATTGATCCACTACCATAAACCCTTGAGAGCACTCTCATTTGTTTGAAAATTCTGGAAGAGTAAATGGAAGGGTGATTGTCCCTATAGACAGCTGTAATTCGTTGTTTACGTTGCGATACCACGGATACCCCCCTTGTGGCTTAGAACATGACATCACCTCCTCTACCATCAGTATCAAGTATCGTAGTGGAGCTTTGGCTGCCCAAAGGGTGCTTAAGTGTCACCGTTGTTTTGAAAACCCTTCCCGTACCATCTTGTCCAGCCGCAACGTCAACCGCAGCTGCATAGTTGTCCGAGGTTGTCGGAACGTGCCAGAGGATCAGCGGGTCGTGTTCCCCTGGCTTAATTCTCTTACTTGGGCAGCTGCAGCTGACGGGTTACTCCAACATTATCTTTTCCCCAGGATGCACTAGCCACTCGTGTTAGATTTACAAAACCCTCCCCCTATCACCGTTTTGAAGCTGTTAGCCAAGGGTAGTTCTATCTCTAGGGCTGATAGAACTTCTCTTGCTTAACAATTTACAGCAGTTAAGCTCATACATAACGTTTATTTCACTCTTCCAGAATTCTCTCTCGGTTGTTCTGCCTAAAAAAAGCTAATGCGACCGATACGTTGGTAGCAGTAGCAGGTTGTAAGAAGACGCATGGCCATTCGGACGGCCTCGTACTGGGCTATGCAGTAAGCGAGCCGTGCTCTTGAAATTGATGAATGGCCTAAGACCTTGCATTATCCAGAAATTCCACTTTACCACGACATGGGCCGTTCCTGTCTCTATGAAAAGTTTCCTCGTGGGTTGTCTACGATATCTGCCAAGGTCCTGTCCCTGCGGAGTCACTAACCGTTGTAAGTTGCATCACCAAACATTGCTCGACCACCGAAACTATATTTGTAGAAAGTAGAATACATGATAATATCGCTAGCAGCAAGTACTGTGACATCATGTCGACCGCTTTCATGCGGACTTCAGAAACGGTTGCACAGTCCACCGAGTACCGTCAGACCTACGAATACACACGATTTTACACTCAAAGAACAAATACAAATTAGAATAACCCTGACTTTGACGCATGATAAGTGCGGCGACATACTCACAATAGGATGGTGATATTTTATTAATCCAATAAAAAAAACAATACAACTTCATCCTCTTTTTGTGTTTGTGCTTTGATTTGGCTGAATTGATGAATTTGTGACTTTTTTACTTTCGATTTTCATAACTCGTGAGTTTTCGATCAGATCGATTTGGCTCAAAATGGTTTGTTGAACGCGCTTCATCGACTGTAATACCTGTAAGGCTTTTGAGCCATACGACATTGACCGAAGATGTTCATCTAGAGTAATCTCGACTTCCGATGGTGACGAGCATTGAGAAGAACCATCTCAAGTTTGCGTTTGGTCTCTTCGTCTTGATTAAGCGTGCTGTCGAGGGCCTCGATGGCAGTCAGCACGTACGTGGCTACGCCACTCTCTAGGTTGCGGCGCAAACTAGATGCTAATCGTCGGGGCTCGGGGTAACCCATTGGGCATGATAGACCCTCTATGACACCACAGCGAAACCATTCGGCCGAGCACTTATCATGTACTTTCGTTTTCATCCCCTTGGTTATGGCCTTGTAGTATTCTCTTTTGCTATGGCGAATAATACGAATTGTAGCCTCTGGGTCCTCTCGCATAACTTCGACAAACTGGTTCCACGATTTCGTCAAGGCAATCAGACTATAATGCGTCTCCTGGTCTGTGTGTCCAAAATATCGACGTTGGCGAAACAGATCAACAAAATGGCATACTCGATATCTCTTGAAGAATTCCCGGGACCAAAATGTCTGCCACCTCTGTACAGTCGTTCAGCGTGTACTTGCACCCGTCCGTCCACGCACCCGCTAGTAAATGCTGAAACTATCCATCCATGGAACCCAAGTGTGCGCCAGGGGATCCCTTTAATACCGGCCCCTGCTGCTGGCGATAACATCAGCATGAGGACCTGTATTATGAAATCCACTCCGACCAGGACTGCCACAGACAGTAGGTTTTCTTCCTTGGTCTCCTCGATGACATCCTCTCTCAGCTAATATATAGACGGCTACCATGGGCATGCCTTTGTGAACTCTACATTATAGAACTCTAAACATAACACGTTCTGTTTAGACAAAATGTTTTACTTAAGTGTAATCCTGGAAGCAATGGGCTTACAACATTATCTTTATTTTCAGTTCGATCAAACTCTACGAGAACATGCGCTTCACTACGGTTGCTTTGCATTATTCAATCTCTGTCCGGTTTTGCGTTTTTCTCTAAGTCAAAACTGTTGCTTCCATTTCTTCGCCGGCTCAAAGAATGCTTGTATCCAATCTTATTCCGCAACATTTTGAAACTCAGTTAGTCGAATGTAAGCCCACGCGACGTTGTAAAACTTGTTTTGCTTTTTATGTATCAACGCCAAACGTCGCGATTTGGTGCTCATGTGCCCTGAAGAGGGTGGTTAGAGCCTGATGGTCATTGCTTCCATCCAATGCTAGAGGAACAGACGCTATGCGGTCTCGACGCCACAAGCAAGTTGGAGACTGAACAATGGAAAGTACCCACCCGTACAGCATGTGCATTGCCGCCCTGGATACCAAGTGACAGCTGCCTTTTTTGAGTACTCAAGTATTCACAAACTCTAACTATTCGCCACAACCAGAAATTTATTCCAATAGGTCTATGCTTCATGTCTCAACATCGGCCTCTCCACACAAGACAGCTTCCTCAGTGATACCATCCGGTGTGATTTTAGCCGTCGGTGAGACGGAAAAATGCGCAGCATCATTCTGAACAGCAAATTGATTTGGCTCGTTGAATGAACTTCGAAGCGTTGACCCCCTGTGGACATTGACCTTCTCCGTAAATAGTCTGGTTGAGTGATAGAAGCGATGAAACTTCGGCCAGCACATCCACGTATTGTTGGGGGAGCATTAGTGCAGGGGAGGCTCAAGATGGGCGATGCGGCACAGGCATACGTAGTGTACCTGGGAGTAATTCGTTACATCCGTTGGATATCATCCCTCCCATCGACATACTATACAGCTCATTCTCATACGATTTTGTCTGGCTCGACGAAATCGCAGCGCACGTAATCGCGGTATCCCCAGCAACTCGATCACCCGCAGGACGAGATGGGGTTTTAATAACTGACCCACCGTTGCTATATCATCTGGTGTCTATTTTACGTAGAACATGCGTCCTTCGCTGGGCGCATGTAACCACTCTCCTGTATTGAGTTCACCAACTAGCTCCGTCATGGGTGTTCTGTGTGGATCACGCGCACCGGTTTCTGGAGTTGACAAGGGCCTCGTCAGAAACCTGTTTGACCTTGCAACGTCAATAAGGGCGAGAACGCGTTTCTTATGCCAACGTTTGCAGCTATGATCGTCGGCAATCAAAAATCTCCTCTGATTTGGTCCCCTTCATGATTTTGCTGTACTCCTTGACGCAGGTAGGAGCACTCTTGCCCGTGATTCCTTACTGTTCGACTAACCGATGATAATGTGAATGCAACCGCGTTCGACACCATGTTGACGATATTGCCGTCGCATCAGGATGCTACTATCATCGCATGATTTCTAGAGACAGCTTGCTGCAAGTCATCACACGAGTACTTGTCGCTTTTATCGAGCATCGTGTGGCTTGGAAAATGTTTGTTGTTGGTACGGATAGTTCCTTGTCCATAATGCCCCTTAAGACGAAGCCCCCTGAAATAACTGCACCAACGCGAAGTGGCTGTTCATTTGAACAACTCGGTGTTATCCAAAAAGAGGGCGCACGACTTCGAGAACGTGCCTTGACACACCTCTTCCAATTCCTGGCTTAGCGCTTGAATATCTGCATCTCCAATAACCCTTTCTGTCGATCTGCAATGCCATTGCGATTGCGGTGAACTTTGTAATTGAGTGCGATCCTCGTCGATGAACAGCACACCATGTAGAGTCTAAAACGAAACTTCCCTGTTGGCTTAATAGGGTTGAAAACGATCATGTGTCGACCCTGGTGCGATCGACAGGCTACACTAGCTTCACCCAATGTGACATTCTCCCAACGAAAATATATTTGTCGCCCGTGACTTTAGTAAATTGAGACGGGGTCGAATTCGAGCAGCAGCGCCTTGACCAGGGTAGTCGGGGCAGCATTGAAGCTTAGGCATCAGCGAAGTAGCTTGAACCGATTCAGCGATATTATTACATCCAGAGACGTCGTCTTTTTTCACTATAAGATGAAGTCTTCGGGCTGCGACTCCAAGTAATTTGCATACTCACATGTTGTTGTTCTGAGTCACAAAGAATAAAATGCCCAATAAACTCATCAACTCGTTCTCCGTGAACGGGTTCGTAACTTTATCACGAGGATGACAGCATATTGGTTTGTTTCAAAAGCACTAGACACCAAAAAGTACAGCTGTATGTACACAAAAAAAACTCGACTTGGCCGAGTGCGCAAAGATATGTCGTTATTCGACGAAGACACGTTCCAGTAGATCCGTCGGCGCGTGCATAAAGATCTTACGGAGCTCGCATGGCTTCTGACGGATTGAAGCATGTGCTTCAAATTGCCTCCACTTCTTCAAGAGTCGTTGGGAGGAGTTCAACAGGATCATATTCCTCAAATATCTCGGCATCATGATGTTCACTCACATCGATCTGAATACTCTCTCCACCATCACACTCCAATAACCCTTGCCAGTATTGATTGTCCGAAACTGTTGTTAGTGCTCCGTAGTTGTCCATTCCAAGCCAGATCATACGGACACTGAGATTTTCAATTTGCTTTGAAATTCAGTATCTAGCCATCGAACTTGAAATTAATGCGTCTTTGCACTTATTGGCATGGTGGCATACACTTCCAACGATATACGCCGTTCCAACGTGTCTGTAAAACTGTTTTTCCATGAAAGGCTCCCTTGCGGTTGAAAAAGCCACAATCTCATCAATTTATACTTGCTGAAGCAATGCTGGGGGAGCGGCCCGTATCGCCGTTTGAGATACCATTTGTTGTCACTGCAGCGTCATCACATGATAAAGGTGGCGGTCATCATCGATAGTGAGTTACGAATGGAGGCATCTGCCCTGCCTTGATGTGCTTCACTAGCACGCAAATCGCAGCACACTCACAAACCGCGGAAGTATTACGCATCTCTTAAAGTGATTATCAATTTGCTATTCACTATACCTTTTAAGACACTTGTTCGACCGCGCATCTGATCTGAACACAACGTGTATGTGTACGCTGGTGACATCTTGTCCCTGCGCCTGGTTTGAGTTAAAATGTCAGAGCATTAGGGCTTCCCTTTCGAGATCCTATTATGTTTTGTACAGCATACAAACCTAAGTGGTTTGATTCTTAAATTCTGTTTGGATGCTCCAAATTTCGACCAGCGAATCACTTGGTTCTCCAACTTCAGGTGATGATCGGGAGTTCACGTTGTTGGCTCCTGTTCCTATCTCGACAAGTGGGCAACCCACAGTCACAAGGTTTAAGCAAGTGTGCAAACGCACCACCATTATTTTCAAGTCAGGCTTTGTACAAGGAGGTGCCCTAGCTACCACCTCACTACCATCTCGCTTCAGACAGAAACTATCTAGAGACTTTCCCATTTTCAACTACCGATCTTACAGTGAGTCTCAATGTTTCATAACTTGATCGAGCAGCCAAAGCTTGGCTTGTCAATATCACTGTATTGAAGTGCTGCGAGCTATCGGTTTGTCATTCGTTTCATTCTTATAAGCAAGATACATACCAAATGTATCTACCACACACAAACATCTTTCCATTCCCATCACTATCAACGCAGTCCTTTTTGGTCCCCCGCTTCAACTTTGCCTTTTTTTTTTTAGAAACTTGAAAGCACTGGTAGCACTTACTTTGGTCCGCAATGTTTTGTCAGTTTGCAGTTCTCTAAGTCCATGGAACTGGTCCGGTAAAGACATATTTTTAATTGAATCGCTAATAACTTAATATTAGTCATCTATTTTGAGCGTACATCGGACGTCCGATTTGCTGCTTATGAGGACTCACCTACCTACACAAATATATAGAATGCAGAAATCAATTTTCGGTTATGACAAATGTATACAAAGAGCATGTGAGGGGTTTTCGCATGTACCGCAATAGGTCCATGAAGCTCATGCCAGTAATTTCACGATCATTGCCGAGGATTTACTATCAGGTTGTGAGATCCCGGGGAATATCATTTCACTTAGACCCGAGGGTGGATCAAGAACTGCGCGTGGTAACTGATATCTATTTGGTTCAGGTCCAAAGCCGGCCAAAACCCTCAGACAGTCGAATGGAACCACATGATTGGCATACGCTCCTTTTCTGCTTTTTGTTGCCCAGTGCCTTTGCTTGTCTGCAGAGTCGACTGATGCGCCGCCTGAATCGGCAGCAGCTGCTTGTTTTCGGCCTAGTTGCGTTTTCACGGTACTTTGAACCCCAAGCAAATAGTAGAATCCTTTAGTGCTTTGTAGTTGTGGATAGGTAGACTGACTTATAGGACTGGAGCCTTTAAGTACGAAAATTGGACGCGTTCACTAAAATCCGGCCATGGTTCATGTCCAACATGCCATCTATGAAAAAATAGAGAGCCAGTGCACTTAAAGGACAACGCTCAACCAATTTGTGCGCATAAGTGCGGTTTCTCCTACATTTCCATACTGATTCTTTTTTTCTCTCCAAACCGTACGAAGCAAGCTTGCTCCACACACACCTTCATTTTCGAGGGGGTAATCAAGCCGATATGAAGTAAACACAATCGTCTGACGTTATCACCACGTGACGATAGCCCAAGCGAGAGTAATACATCAGCACGATGACGGAGACCTGCTTCTGTGCCGCTATTAAACATCGCATTCAAAATATTCTGAATAATGCTGTCGCTAAATGTTGCATCAATCATTATCTTTTCTCCTGCATCATCGCAGTTTTCGACTTTGTGCTGCACAGCTGCAATTTTTTCTGCTTAAGCAATTTTTTTGCAGTATTGGGTCGGATAGGACGACGAGTGTTGGAGCCTAAGCTATGCTGAAGTTTCCACAAATCCATAATTGCGTTTACGTAGGCAGCCAAAGCAGAGTGGTCGATCACAGTGCTGGGCGATACTGTACCAGATTCTCGGAGCTCGTCTGAGATGTCTTCAACGCTAGGTTGAGATTCCTGCTTACTACTTTTTCGTTTTCTTTCTCTTTTATGAACAGATCGGCTTTGAATTGAGAGTTTTTTTTAAAAAAAAATACCAACTTTGACTCAGTTACTTGTTCATCGCTGTATCCCATGCCGTGCATCCAGTCTATGAATTCGTGCCATTAGCAGTGACGCTAGGTCGCCCCATCGACATTTGACAAAAAGTTGTTGACGAAGACGTCGGCTTCAACTCTGATTAATATACCTAAATTTAATGATAGTTTTCGTTTGCCGACAAATCTGTCTGTCTGTCTGTCTGTCTGTCTGTCTGTCCGTCCTGCTCCTTCTCTTACCGACTTAAATCTTCTTTAGCCTTCTCTTCATCAATCAGAACACTGGAAGATCACCTACGATATTGATTTGCATTACTATCCAGCCTGCATCAGGAAATCATGCATGACGAAAAAACGCGATCTGATAGGCTGTTCAATAAAAATACGATACGCTTTGCTTTGAATGCATAGCATTTCGAAAAGCACGTGCGAGTGAATACTGTTAGGACTGCAAGACTGAACTGCGGGGACTGCGAGGTTGCAAGGACTGTTATGTATGTGTGTTACATGTTATGGTAGATATACATTTAACCCTAATCACATTAACAGATTTACCGGTATAATAAATACAAAATTTAATGTTATTTTGTATCACCACGCTCTGTGCTCTATACTTATGAGCTGATACTCAATTGAGTTATTAGCCACGGCATCCCAAAACCGTCGTCAATATCGATCAGCAAAAATATTATTAAAAAAAACAATAAGAAAAAACTAAAAGTTAAAAAGCTGATGGCTATACAAATACATAAATTATAAATAGTGACCGGATCCGTTATCGTGATATTCACGTTAATAGTGGAAGGTTTACTATATGGATGAATATCATTAAGCTACCGACAGTCTTTTTCTTACTTAGTTTCAGTATGACCGTATCGAGCTGATATCTGATAAACAACCAATCAAGTCGTGGATACAGTATTTTATCCAATCCGAGTTATTAGGGTTAGGTGAAACGGCTGCCGACGTTGTGCCGGCATATAATGTCGGCAAGGGTACTAAATATGCGTTACGATTCATACTAGCCATCAAGTGTTTTTACATCATTTGGATATTCCCCCTCTGACCGACAAAAACACTTGAAAACAGTATGAGTCTGCAAGACCTCTCACCGGCCAACTCCCAGCGTGCGCAGCAGACAGCAATCAATGCGTTCTCTCGCTTCCTTGTGGCCGAAGGTGTCAATATGCTGTATATCGCAGCAACTTTACTAGGTGATATGACTGGAGCAAAGTTTGTCAAGCTGATGGATCGCTTCGCGGTTTATCTTACAAGTGCAGACGGGCGAGGAGGGAAGGCGCTAGCTCGCAACTCCGTCATGAGCTACTACCGGCACGTCAAAAACTGGTTACTCGACACCTACCCGAAGGACAGAGCCTTAATTGAGAAGAAGCTACTCAAGATGGCATAGACTCTTGAACGGCACTGCCTGAAGCGCCTCGAAGGTGGTAGTACGAAGCGAGCACCGGCGTGCACGAAGGAAGATCTACGTATTCTGATGGGCGGACTTTATTTCGATGCTGCTAGCTCTAAGGATTACCAAGACGCTGCGCTCCTTGCCTTGATGTGGTATGCGTTCGGGCGCGCTTCAGACTTAGGCTTCGTCGCAAAGAGCAACCTCACCGTAAGCGCTGACGGAGTCGTCTTTGTGAGGCTGTTACGCGTCAATACATCGGAAGAGCAAGGTATATCGATCTTCCCTAATCAAGCGAGTTTCGTAACCTGCCCCCTACATGCGATCGCCATGACCCTGGTAATGCAAGATACCCCAAGCTTACGTTTACTGGACCACCCTCAACTTGCTTACCGGAGACGAAGGGAGAATCGCCACCCTGATAGATATCCCTTTAGCAGAAGCACTGACAGCCTGTGACGGAGTCGACACAGAAACGCCCCACGAGACTTCAAGCGAGCCACGAACGAAGAAGTGCAAACCTACCGATGATAACATGAAGATACACGCATACGTCAACCGCATTGTCAAATCCGCGAGCGAAGCACAAACAAGAGCAAAGTCTATCCCAAACTTGACCTCGCATTCATTCCGCCGCGGTGGTGCCCAGCATGCAAACGGCGATGCTACTCTAAGCGCTCAGTGGATTTTTGACCGTGGTTCATGGAACATGACGTCTACGAACAAGGCGTTTGCGTATGTGTTTAATACCACCAGTGAGGATCAGAAGGTTGCGCGAGTTCTGAGCGGATGGGACGCAAGTGCCAAGCTCGAGGTGCCAACGTTATCGTGGTTTGATTCCGCAACATGGGAACAAAGCCGTAGGATTGCCAATCTCCTCTTCCGGACAAGTATTTGTGCTGAAGACCCCAGTAAACGGCTAAGTGATCGTGTATGCGAAGTACTCACGGCTTCTTTGATCCAGCATTTTCCTGAGGTTCTAGAACGGTATCCAATGTGCCCATACGTGTCTAGAATGCGCATAATTCTTGTAGAACTAGGAATTGAGAAGGCACAAGTGTTGGGATGGAGCTCTGAGCTT